TACACATAACTCCACTGGTGAAGTGGAACGCATAGTAAAGTGGCATAGTAGGTAAAGCTGCCACCTGCAATGCCAGCATCCAATACAGGTGCCAGCTCAAGTCCTGGCTGCTCCACTTCCAATTCAGCTCCCTGCTAATGTGCCTGGGAAAGCAGCGGAAGATGGCCCAATCCTTGAGCCCCTGCATCCATGTGAGAGACCCAGAAGCAGCTCTACTGGGGCCATTTGAGGAGTGAACCAGTGGATGGAAGATCCCTCTCTCTCTACCTCTTTCGCTCTCTGTAAGCTCTGCCTTTCAAATACATAAATAAACCTTTAAAAAAAATTCTCCTATTGCAACTAATCTTAAAAATTAGCACACCTTTTATCAATGACACAGAATTTCCCAAGAGTTTGAAAATAAAAACAAAGGGCCAGTGCTCTGGCATAGCATGTAAAGCCACCGCTTGCAGCGCCAGCATCCTAAATGGGTGCCAGTTGAAGTCCCAGCTACTCCACTTCTAATCCAGCTCCCTACTACTGTGCCTGGGAAAGCAGTGAAAGATGGTCCAAGTGTTTGGGCTTCTGCACCCACGTAGGAGACCCAGAAGCTCCTGGTTCCTGGCTTCAGATCTGCCCAGCTTCGGCCACTGCAATCATTTGGGGAGTCAACCAGCAGATAGATGATCTTTCTCTCTCTCTCTCTAACTCTGCCTTTCAAATAAATAAAATCTTTTTAATAATAAAATAAAAACAGAAAATACATGTATACATATATTATTAACCCTATTATGTAAGTTTTCCAATTCACAAGTTAACTTTGCTGAGACTGGTTGAATTGGTAAGGTCAATAAACAGACGGATTCTTCAATTTAGTCATTTTTTAGTCCTCTGATTGAACAACAGACAGTAATCAGGTGCTCTCCTTAGCAAGAATCTTTGCATTCAAAGAAAGTGGGTATTGGGGCCAGCACTGTGGAGCCCATAGGGGCAACAGTTTGTGACCCATCCGCTCCACTTCTGATCCAGCTCCCTGCTAATGCACTTGGGAAAGCAACACAAGATGGCTCAAGTGCTTAGACCACTGCACCAACGTGGGAGACCCTGAAGAAGCTCCTGGCTCCAGATCTGCCCAGCTCCAGCCTTTATGGCCTAAAAGGAGTGTATCAGCAGATGGAAGATCTTTCTGTCTCTCCTCTCTCTGTAACTCTACCTCTCAAATAAATAAATAAAATCTTAAAAAAAAAAAATCAAACCTCAAAATGTCTGCTTCAGGGGCCAGTGCTGTGGCGTAGCAGGTAAAGCCACCACCTGCAGTGCCGGCATCCCTTATGGACACCAGTTCAAGTCCTGGCTGCTCCATTTCTGATCCAGCTCTCTGCTATGGCCTGGGAAAGCAGTATAAGATGGCCCAAGTCCTTGGGCCCCTGTACCCACGTGGGAAGATCTGGAGGAAGCTCCTACCTCCTGGCTTTGGATCAGCGCAGCTCCTGCCGTTGCAGCCAACTGGGGAGTGAACCAGTGGATGGAAAACACCTCTCTCTCTCTCTCTCTCCCTCTTTCTCCTTCTCTCTCTGTGTAACTCTTTCAACTGAATAAATAAATCTTAAAGAAAAAAAGATGTCTGCTTAATTCTAATACATTTTTTTAAAAAGTGAATATTTATAAACTCTAAGACTAGAGAGGTTCTTCAAGGATACCTGGTTTCCTCACAAGGCTACACCGATCACATCTGCTCCAAACTAAGCCTCAAAATCTGCATACCTCCTTCACTTACAGCTTTTACGTTTACTTTCAAAAATCACAAGTCAAATTCTTTGTTTTGACAACACAAGACTTTTGAATCGATTTAACTACCCACCAACTAGTTAACTAAAACAGCTGGAGTAGTTAATTCTGGAAATGAAAAAAGAAAAATTTAAGGTTTCCACTTCAAATTACAAAAATCTCTAAGGAGGAAATTATGTTAAAGTCAACCTAAACTCCACAACAGACAACATGCTTACGGTACACTACACTTTCTCCTAAATGTACACAGAGTCTATGCTCCTGGTCACATGGCCACGGGTCCAGAAGTCAAGGGACTACAGAGTGTGTTCCCGGTATGTTTATATCCCAAGACATGAAAGTCTATCTCATCCTGCGCCACCTCTCCTCTCAGCAAATAGGTGTGTGCGGAGTCAGAGGCGACTGGATCCAAGATAGAAACAGAAGAGTGGGTGGGATCCAGTGCACCCAAAACAGGCTCCCTCTTGCTCCACCCTACCTCCAGCTAGGGAGGAAGCGCTAGGCTGGAAATCCCGAAACAGCGCTCAAGGACGCGGCAGTGGGGCACAGAGCAGCGAAAGCGAGGCAGCTCATGCTCCCACACGACCTCCAGACAGAGGCCCAGGCTTGAGGCCTACAGCCGCCCACCGACCGCGGCCCCCAGCGTAGGGCCCGGGGTCCACAACAGCCCAGGTGCGGAGCGCATGCGCGCGGCGCGGGGCAGCCGCCCACCCCGCGGCCGGCTCTGGGCCACAGACTGCGCCAGGCCCCACGCAGCCTCGCTCCCGAGCAGGGCCTCAGAGCCCAGCAGCCACGAATGCCGCCCCCCAGGTCTTGGACTCGGGCATCACCTGGATCCGGGTCGTCAGGCTCACACCTCCCGTTGATGTTCAAGGGCCGCAGACCTAGAAACGTTTCTTCGGACAAGGGCGCCGCCAGCGTCCTCCGAACTTGCTTCAGTTTAAGCTCAGCGCCTTCCTGGTTCCAGCGCCAGGCAACCTCAGCCGAGCTTCCGAGTGCATCGATGGAGGCTGCCAGGAGACAGGAATGCCGAGCGAATAGATTGTCACGCCGCCAATTTTTTGTTTGGTGTTTATTTTGCGAGCTTGTTTAATTTGATTTTCTTGTTTCCAGAAAGCAATAAAGGTTGGACTAGAGGGTATTACTGCCTTAGTCGTCGTCGTTATTGTCATATATAATCAGTAAACTAATCTGCATTGTAGGAAGTTATGTTTAAGACACCCACACGTAACAAAACTGGTTATCTCGAGCTGCGGGAGGGGGAAATTCACCCAACAATAATAAATCATGGGAGTGTGTCTGTATAGACTCGTGTGTGATTAAATTGTAATGATTTATTTGCAAAACTGCATTAAAAGCCACTGTTTCTTCTGCCCTGAAGGTGAAGGCACTCACAAGTTGGGTGCAAATTAGTTTCTCAGATTAAAGTGCGTAGAGGAATAAGCAGAAACTGCCCGAGGCGGGGAGTGAAAGTTTCTTCTGAAAGAGAAATCAAATGCACATAGGATTTTTTTTTAATTTTTTAAACCAACAGAAATTAAAGCAAGTCAGCATTTTCTGTAACACATAGTACCTTATATTTTTTTTCTTGCATGAAAAGTCACTTTCCCCTAATTTACTGCAAGTAAGCAAAGCTAACGCTTGGTTTGGATCGACTGTGAAACCAACTATTCACAACTGCTAGATAACCAAGTAACAATTTTCTGCAAACACTTGAGATGCACAGTATATTTCTTGTAAGTAGTTATGCCTTAACTAACCAGTTTTCAGGAACAGCTGTAAAACAACTGCAATATTACATGTTTATTTTAAATAATTCAAGAGCTGGGGGAACCCTTAGGGTCCTGAATTTTATTAGAACCTGTATATCTGTCAGCACACTGTCAGCTAAGCTTTCCCCTCAATCCTTTTTACCAAAACTGAGTTTTGACATGTCTTGTCTCCAGAAAACATTTGCTCTTTAGTGAAGCATCATTAAAACTTTCTGAGCATGCATCAGTATTTGATGTTACAGCCCTGTATTTTTTAAAAACTAAACTTTCCCTAGGCCAGTGGGAGTCTGTGGTCAGACACTGCGGATTTCTAATAACTCGGTCTGATATAAACACCAGTATTCCTAAATATAAAATGAGCCAATGAGCTGAGATCATGGAAATATCTATTAGCTTGAATTGGACAACAGCTGTGTCTGAACCTTCCCTGATGAAAGTGTTCATCTTTCCCTCTAGATTAGTAGATAGAACTTACAAGTCTTGGTCCTGAAAAAGTAAAGAAGTGGATGGGTCTCCTGAACTCTATCAGGCTTTTCATATTTTATTTTGGAGCTGCCTACTAATACGTATTTGACATCTTAGAATGAGATCTCTTTGAGCATCAAATTCATTTAGATGACCCCATTACTGGCCATTATGCTAAATAGTCTTTAAAAATGATTTTCATAAAAGACTCAAGTTTTATGATTATTCCTCTTTGATAATATCAGAATTTAAGTACTTACAGAGAATAGCCCTAGACTTACTGTGAAACCGTGTTTCATATAACTTGGGAAAGTTTGAGTATGTGAGTCTCTTTTACGGTGTAGTCAAACAAATGCAAGTGCTTATCTAATTCATTGATATCTAAAAGCTATTGCTACTGAAAAGTTAAAGATCTTAATTCTTCCTCCTAGAATACCAAAAAAAAAAAAAAAAGAAATGTTTTAAGAAGAGGGAAAGATGACTTCAGAAAAAAAGGAAAAGCAGTATTTCTAAAAATTATAATTTCCATCTTCCTTAAATTCACTAAGTGTGAACATTTTAACCAGAGGAGCCACCATATTGTAGTATGCCAAAGTTACAGATAGTCTCTCTTTACATATATTTCAAGAAACATACATCAAGGTACAATTGTGTTCCCTTTTTACAACTGTTTCAGGTTACTGTAATAGAACTTCTCAAATTATCCGCTGTGTTTTGATGCTCTATCCAAAGAGTAGAAGATATAAGTATTAACGTTCTGTAATTGCTTTTATTTTTACTGAATATTAGATCCAAGAAAATAACAAATTACCTTTAATACAAATTACCTTTGGAAAGCCTGTATTAACAGTCATGGCGCTTGGAAATGTCGCCAAAGCCGCACTGAAAGAGGTGTATTTGTTTACATAACTTTCCGGACGAAGATGTTCTTGCGAGCCCTACCCAGATAATTCTCCCAACCCCTGTTCTGCACAGTGCGGGCAGATGACTCGGAACACAGAACAAACGGCCTTAGTGAACATAACCCAGGCATTCCCTTTTAAGCCGTTGTCTTAGTGAGAGAAAGACGAGAGAGAGACTTTCTCCCGGCAACCACCTCTTTTTCGAACAGTCTACAATTAGTAAAATTAGTCGGGGCACAAAGTTAATGTCGATTTTTCCCCCCAAACTCCTAGAGGGATAATCTCTTGTTTGTCAGGATGAGGAAACTAACTAGACCATTTCCCAGGGTGCTAAGGAAGAGCTCCTGCAGTTGATCGTGGGAGGGGTCCGGACGCAGGGAGTTGGGAAGAAGGGAGAGAATGTTGAGATACCCCCCACACACACCCCGACGGGAAGCCGGGGCGAACTGTCCTCGGCTGGGCGCTGACACTTTAAAATGGGGTCAGTCTGGGAGCAGCTGCTGCTGGGGAAACGTGTCACCGACCGGCCCCTCCAGCCAGGTCGGCTCGGACTCCAAGTCGAGAGCCGTGGGCGAATCTCTCAGAGCAGGTCGTGACGCGGGGTGACGAGGCGAGCTCAGCCTGGCTGCGGGCCGGGAACCTCCTAAGAAGAGCCGCTCCGGTCTTGGCAGGGCTGTGAAGCTAGAATGAGGCCGCGCGGTGGAGCTGCGGCTGGGGTCGGGGCAGCGGGGCAGCGATGCGGGAGTGGTGCGCGGGGCAGGATGCGGGACGGCGGGTAGGGCCTCTAAGCCGCCGGGCGCCGATGCGGGGCAGGGGCTGCAGGCAGCCCTGCGGAGCTGAGCGGCTGCGCGGCCCGGAGCAACAGGGAAGGCTGTGGGGTCGGTGCGGGGTGGGGATCCTCGCCCGACTCTGCGAGCCGCGCACTTGTCAGTTTCCTGCTGGCCCCGCCCCCGCGGAGTCCATCCAGCTCCCCAGCGCTTAACTAAGTCGTGACACCAACGCAAAACCCACGTCTAATTAAATTAATTAGGGATCCTTGTCAATCCTGGATGAATGACCGAGCGCACAGGAGGCCGGGGCTCGCTGAAGCCTGGACGGCGGGGACCTTCCTCCTCCCCCACGGCTCGGGTCCCCGCGCTGTCAGCCCGCGCCCGCACCGGCCCCGACTCCAGCCTCAATTGCGCGCTCTCCGCCTCTCTCTCTCTCGCTCTCTCTCTCGCTCTCTCTCTCGCTCACGCTCTCGCTCTCGCTCTCTCACTCTCTCCCCTCCCTCCCCCCCCACCCCAGGTAGTGGCGCGGCTGCTGCTCCCCGGGAAGGGGCTCGCTCGAGTTGCAGGGGAGGTAATTGACTCGGAACGAGGGCCGTCTTAAGGAAGTATAAATAGTGAGACTTCAAGCGCAGCGTCGCTATCGGACCTGAACTCTCGGCAGGAAGAATTGTCAAAGATCTTAACATCCAACGAGCGCGCTCCGGCGGGGAAGCCCGGGCCGCGGCCCCGCCGCCCCCGCCCCTCCCCCGCCGCCCCCTCCGCTCCCAGTCCTCCTCCTCCTCCTCCTCGTCTTCGTCCTCCTCCTCCTCTTCTCACTTCTCGTTCTCCTTCTACTTCTCCTCCTCTTTCTTCTTTCTTCTCTTCTTCTTCCTCCTCCTCCTCCTCCTCCCGCTCCTCCCCCACCCCTGCCCCATTGATGTGTTGTTATTGGGGGGGCTGGAGCAGTAAGAAAAGGAGGAGGAAAAAAGGAGCGGGGCTCGGCTGGGAGCGGCTGGGCGCGGGGCCGACGGGCGGCGGCGGCGGCGGCGATGGAAGAACTTACGGCGTTCGTCTCCAAGTCCTTTGACCAGAAAGTGAAGGAGAAGAAGGAGGCGATCACGTACCGAGAGGTGCTGGAGAGCGGGCCGCTGCGCGGGGCCAAGGAGCCGAGCGGCTGCGCCGAGCCCGGCCGCGACGACCGCAGCAGCCCGGCAGTCCGGGCGGCCGGCGGAGGCGGCGGCGGAGGAGGCGGAGGCGGAGGCGGAGGAGGCGGAGGAGGTGCAGGAGGAGGAGGAGGAGCAGGCGGAGGAGCTGGAGGAGGGCGCTCTCCCGGCCGGGAACTGGACATGGGCGCCGCCGAGAGGAGCCGGGAGCCGGGCAGCCCGCGGCTGACCGAGGGTAACGGCCCGATCCCCCAGCCGCAGTTCCCTTTCCCGCCTTAGCTGACCCCTCTCGAGCGGCCCCGCGGGGAGGGGGGCGGGACGCGGACCGGGTCTCCCCGGGATCCCGGCTCTGGAAGCTGGAGAGATATTGGAGGGGGTGGGCGTCCGCGGCAGTGTGTACGGTCGTGGGTGGGGTCCTGATGCGTGTGTGCCGGGGGGTGGGGGGCGCGTGGGGTTTGCGCGTGTCCTCCCCAGATGCTCCCACCGCATTGAAATGCAGCTTTCCCTGGCGGGAGGACCGGCCCGCAGTCCGGACGGCCCGCGGGGCAGATGTGCAAGTTCGTGGGGACTAGACTGTGGCAAGGGGTGCTGGCTGGGACCGGACCCAGCGGAGGGGGGAGGCCGGCGTCTAGCGAGAGTTTACGGCAGCCTACCCCCCTCCCCGGCCTAAGCGAGAGAGGGACAGAGAGAAGGGGACAGAGGGCAGCGTCACCCTTGGGTCACCCACGGGGCTCTCGGGCCGCCGCCCGAGCCCCCTTGGAACTCCGCAAAGACCCAGAGTCTTTGGATCTTTAGGGGCCCAAACTTCCCATTTTCTTTGCGCGATGAAAGAACGAAGCCAAGGCAGAATAAGGTCCGGGCTATGCTGCTGCTCCCGGGCGAGGCGTTTAGGATTCATTTTAGGGTTTGTTGTACGCAATTCCTTTACTGCTTCGAATTATCCAGTACTCTGATCTGGGGGGAGGAAAAACTCCTTTGGTGCCAGCGAAGTGTTGGCAAACGGCTTTATCTAATGGTGGAGCGTCCTGTACCAATTCAAAGGAGTTCAACAATAAAATTAATTTGGCACTTGGTGCCTGCAGTAACTGGTGTACTGCCATATTTTTCCAATTAAGAAAATATGTGGCATGCGTAGAATCACATATTTAAGCAAGCAATTAGGTTGTTTATAACACGGTCTGTTCCTGTTTAGGCCACTAAGTGGAAATTTGGGGGCGAAATAGAAATTATATTAAGTCTATTAATCAACGTGAAATTTGGACATCTTTCTCCCTGAAGCCTCAAAACTTTGAGGGCCATCCATTGTGTGGATGACAAGAAATAGACAAAGTTTGTCCGCCCCTTTTGGCAGAATCTGGTGTGTTTTCCCGTTTAAATTTCACTGAAATATCAGTGGAAATATTTTTCTATTAAATTGTCCCCCGTGTTTGCTACAAGAGCCTGGGGGAAGGACGAATGTTCACTAAACGAACTCTGAGAACCAGAAATGCGGGCAGCACTCAAGATCTGTGTGTCTAGATGGCCAGGCTGGGTTAAGATCTAAGCAGCTCTTCTTCCCCCAAACCTGGTATCAGTTGCTCCTACATTTAGAAAGTGGTGGAATAACTGCCAAGGGGCCCAGCGCAACCTCCTGGCAGTGGGTCCTCAGCTCGAGGCCCTGGGTTCGCTGGCCAGAAGGTGCAGGTCTGAACCCCGGCCGCCGCAATTCCTAGGCTTGCTGATTTCCAAGCTGAGGGCAAGTATTAATTTCTCTGCAGACCTGCTCTTCCAGAAATGATTTTTAACTCCCATGTTTAATCAGGATCCTGGGTCGGGAATAACTGCGAGCAGCCAAACAACCTCAACTATCTCATCTCAGCTTTGACACCTTAAAAACCTGAGTCTCTTCCGACTCTGGAGCAGAGGACGAAGATTTTTTTTTTTGGGCGGGGGGGGGTCATGTTGATATTGGATCCGGCTCCCTCTGATCACTGCCCCTTGGCCAAATATATTATATAGATATAGATATTATATATAATTTGCCTCTGTATGGTTCAGGCTCGCACAAGCGCCTATTTTTAAATGGAAGAGGAGAGGAAAGAAGCAATGGGTGTGTGCAACCCAGAGCAGAAAAATGCATATTTTATTAAACATCCGAGCTGCTGGATGCATGAAAAGGCTTTGAGCAACCAATAGAAACCGAGGATCGCGAATGTTCTGCGTGAACCTGTTGATCTCTGTGGGTTTAAGCGTTTAGGATCGAGTCTGCGTTTCCACCCGGGAGGGAGAAAGGGAGAACAGAGACGGCCGCCGGTTTCGCTGGCCACCCGAGGCTGATTTTCTGCCTCTTGCCTTCTGGCCGGGCGTGGGCGACAAGCCCTCCAGGCCGCCAACATGGCGTGGGCACCTGTGCTCCTGCGACCCTGGTCGCGCAAGGGGGACGAGGGCTATCTGGCCGCTGGTGGGACCGCCCACGGGGTAGCTGGGGTTTGGCGCCCGCGGTTGTGGCTCCATGAGCCACGCAGCACCCGGGTGGTGGTCTCAGGCTGCGACCCTTCGGTCCAATTGTTCCTAAATTAGAACAGCAAGTTTGAGGGAGGCAGAAGGTCGGTGTCGGCGAGAAATGGCCTGAGAACGAGCCAGCCCTCCGGGAATGGCCGGTGTGGAGGCCAGTGCGTGGCCTCGCCGCGCCCCTCTGCCCGGACCGCGTTCTGGGAAAGGCCTGGCACGGCCCTAGTGGTTTCTGTGAGTGCGCGGGTGAAAGTGGGTGTGAGACAAGGGTGAATGGAATGCATTCGGTGTCTGCGGGGGAGGTCGGGGGGTGGACAGTGAGGCGGTGAGCTGAGGCCACAGCTGCGCAGAGGGGGTGGTGCGTGCCCACCTTGCCCGGGGCTGCCACCCAGACAGAACTCCAGGATCTTCTTTCTCTGAGCAGTGTGAGGGGCTGGACGGGAATTCTGGGAGAGGGTAGAATCCCCTCTCCTCCGATACAAATCTGGTAACGGGGTTTGCTGTGCTGTTTTTGTCCGTGTGTGTGTGTGTGTGTGTGCGTGCGCGCGTGCGCCTGTGTGTGTGTGTTGGTGTGTGCACTCGTGGACGCACGTGTGGCCCCGTCCGTGGTGCCCCCTCCAGTGTCCCCGGAGCTGAAGGATCGCAAAGAGGATGCAAAAGGGATGGAGGACGAAGGCCAGACCAAAATTAAGCAGAGGCGAAGTCGGACCAATTTCACGCTGGAACAACTCAATGAGCTAGAGAGGCTTTTTGACGAGACTCACTATCCGGACGCCTTCATGCGGGAGGAACTGAGCCAGCGGCTGGGGCTGTCGGAGGCTCGAGTGCAGGTACCCGGCTGCGGAGAGGTGGAGGCTGGGCCCAGGGACCTTAGGGGGCTTGGTTCGGGTGGGGGGGAGGAGGGGTGCCACACACCGAAGATGCCACTTTGTCTGTTGTGAGAAATGAAAAGAAAGGATATCTTTCTTAGAGGTCTTATTTTCCAAAGTAAATATTACTCCTATAGCCTTTCCACCCCATCCAAACATATGTTCGCTGCAGAAGAAAGCTTTAGCTGGGCTTGCTCCCAGAGTTTCTATAAAACCCCCCCTTGCCTCACTCTGACTTTAATGTGGTTTAATCCTAATGGGCCTATTTTATAAGCCTTAAAAAAAAAAAACTCACAGAAAACGTTTTATCTCTGGGCGCCTTAAAAGTTACAATGAGTATTTTACTCAGTCGAGCTGAGTTTCATTGAGGGTCTGTTCCTGGGTCTAGGTTTGCCAAGCGGATATGCCAATTAGGTTTATAGATGTACAGACTGTAAAGGAAATTAACAACTGTTAAGTGTAAAAATTTACAGTCTGCAGTGAATCTCAAACTGTGGGTGAAACAGCAGAGAAACAAATGCATTTTGGTCACTCTTTGTTTGCTTAACCAAGGCAAGAAACCCGAACCTATAGAAAGTCAATTTTAAAACAACCCACATATCTTGAACCATTGGCATTTCCCAGCAAGTGCCATTCCCTCTGAAGTTAAGATTGAAGCCGATTTGTTGATTGGTTGTGGAAGCGAATATCACAGCAAAAGTTGGCTTTGGGGGTATTTAAGGAGGAAAATTATATATGTATATGCATGCATATCCTTCCAGAATTTGGGGGGACAAATTTAAATGTTTAAGATTATATTTCTGTTTAAATAATAAAATGGGAGAAAATGATGGTCATTATTTGTTTGAACACATGGAGCAGTTTTAGGCCCGAACATCTGCAGCTGTTACAAAGTATCGCTGTAACAGATACTCCCTGAGTCTCTGGGCACAGAGACCACCATCTGTAGCGAACTATGCACAATTCTTATGGGGTTTCCGCGCATCTTGTAATAGGATCAGGGGGGAAAAAAAAACAGAGCAGTCACACTGAAGGGGGAAAGTAATAATAGGCCACCTTGGTCATCACAGCATCAACAGCGGAACCTTCTTTTTTCAGCCTCTCCTGCCTTGCTCTGTGCGCTGAGATCTCCAGAGGCTCAGCAACCTCTTAAAAACATGATGATAATTATTACAGTTATGAGTATTAGTATCTCAATCCCTACTCTTCTAGGGGAAAAAAGAGGCAAGAAGCCTCAGGCCATTCGAGTTACACAAAGGATGCCACCCTGGCATGAAATCCACCCTTCTATTATACTAAGTAACAGGGGAATTTCTGAAGATTTACATTGACTATGACACTTGCTTTCAAAAACATACTAAAAAAGGCTCTGAAGCAATATTTTACTTTCATGGGGTTTTTAAACATTAATTTGTGAATCAATCAATATGCTGCATTATTGGAACTGGAGTGTAAAAGCAAGCTTTATTTGAATTTTTTTTAAAATCTGTTATACTGCCTCAAAAAGTTGGCAAGTTTATTTAAGCAGGTACTATCCAGAAGATAGTACCCAGGAGTTACTTGATTTAAACCCCTCCCACTTTACAGAGTACTCTTCTTATTTTTCTTTTAAGAGGTGAACTATATTGTTGGTCTTTTTTTCATAATTTTATTTAAGTTTCAGAGTATTTTCTAAATGTTTCTGTACAATCTTAACTACTAGCAGTGCTTTTTCTATAGAAGCAATTAGATTATCATGATAATGGTACAATTATTCTGCTGCTGTGTTACACTCTGCTGCACAGAGGAATGGAGAAATTTTACATTTCTTTGTAGTGAGGCTTTTATGAGACTAATTACCTCTCCCCCTCCCTTACAACTCCCTCCCCCTCCAAAAGAGTCATTATTTGCTTTGGTGTTTGGTTTTTCTTTAAGATGAAGCTAATTAATATTACAGGCTATTAATGAGCACATTGTTCTCAGATCTTTGCTGGCCAACATTTAAACCCATTATCACATTGGTATCAGGTACCAGGGAGAGTTTGGGGGACACTGTTAGTAGAAAGATGAAACCACGACTAATAGTAACTCAGAAAACCAATTTATCTTGTAAAAGTCTGTGAAATCCATCTTATTTGTTTAGCTCACTTAGATTTTTAACTTTGGACATTGAGGCTATTTTACATAATTCAAAGATTGCTTGCTATGTCACCCAATTCTTGCCTAAAATAATTGTTATTTTCCCATTGTACTTTTAATTTTTTGAGTTATGATATTGAGATTTTCTTTTTTCCCCTCCCACTTGTAGGTTTGGTTTCAAAATCGAAGAGCTAAATGTAGAAAACAAGAAAATCAGCTCCATAAAGGTATGCTTTTCACACAAGGAGCATTTGATATTCCAAGTAAAAAAGATAGAGGTGAAGCATATTGATATTACAAAGACAAAAACAGCCACTTCAAAGACGATGGTACTAGTTCTTAATTAAGAGTATTCTATAAAGACAGCTAATGAGAGTCCTAAAGTTTGGGAGTAAATTATGGTTATTTAAAATATGGCAATAGTTTAGAAAGATAGCATTTCAATTCCAAAGAAATCAGTTCTGTGTTCTGCACTGTAGAAAACACCACTGGAAATGTTAACCTCACATTGTTACGTCTTGTTCCCATGTATTGCAGGTGTCCTCATAGGGGCTGCCAGCCAGTTTGAAGCTTGTCGAGTTGCACCCTATGTCAATGTAGGTGCTTTAAGGATGCCATTTCAGCAGGCAAGTACAGCCTAGTTTCAAGCTATTTTTAAATGTGAAAAGACCTGGATGTTTGCTTGGACTGTTGAGCATCCCTTCTCTCAGAGCCCCAATACCCTTACGGTTGGAGAATCAATTTTGAGAATGACACTGATACACACCCCGTTAAACATGTATACAGTGTCAGGAACTGAATTCCTAGTTCTTTCTGTCCTTGTGGGACCCCCAGTTGGTCCTTTAAAAATGCACTAAAGATTGCACTTGGGGAGAGGAAGGAAAAACCTTTTGATTAAGATTTTGTCAAATCCAATTCAGAGGTTAGTCCTAAAGTGTTTTTACGGCAACCCTATAAATATTTTTCCAGGTATTTTCTACCTCATAGTAATATTAAATGCCTCTGACAAGAAAAATAAAGGACTCCCAACTCAGATTTGGTTTTGGTTTTTGTTTTGTTTTTTAAGCTGTCCCTGAAAACAAAGCTTCATCTCCAGTAAAAAGGGAAACCTTGGTCTTCCCAGGGCTGTCCTGCCTCTGCAATCCCTTTCTTAGCCATAAAGCAACCTTTAAGACCACAATTTAAAAGGACAGCCTGCAGCAATGATTTAATCCTGGGAAATCCCAGTGCTCTGAACTCCCCGCTCCCCAAGCCTGAGGGTGAAATCCTTTCCCAACCAGTGCCTGACCTTCCCCTTCCTCAGTCAGGACCCCTACTCAGCGTTGCTGTGATGTCATGAATTAGTTCTCAGTTGCCCGCATCCTGGACTGGGGAGACACCTGGATGTGCCCATGTATTGAAAGTGAGTGTTAGGGAGCTTTCGCTGTCTTGGAACCACAGGATTCTGGCATCCTGATGCTAACTCTTGAAACAAGAGAGAATGACTGGCAACAGGAAGGGCATATCTTAAAAGACCCTTCCTGCTCAGAAGGTGATCTTTTGGGCCAGAGGCAGCAGCAGCAGCAGCAACAACAACAACACTATTTGGGAGATTATTAGAAAGTCAGCTTTAGGTGTCCTGAATCAGACTCTGCATTGTAACAAGATCCCCCAAGTAATTCTTAACCACGGTCAAAGTTAGAAGTACTGATTTACAATTACGCCAGTTGTGGTGAAGATGCAATCACTTCCTAAAGTAAGATTTAAAAAAAAAAAAAAACAGTTTTGTAGTTTGCTTGTTGATACTGCGGTGCTTTAGTAGTGGAATAAGTGTGTTATTGGCAGCATCAAGATCGGAGTGTAACAGCCCTCATGCCAAGTCTTCCCAAAATATCATTGTTATTTTTACCTTAGCACAATATCTGTGTCGTCCAGTCATCTGCCCAGCTTCCGAGGGGCGGCCAGTTTTTGCAGATAGGGGTTCCTGGGACTCCCGGGAACCAAGACAATAAACCAGTACTGAGCAGAGACCCAGGGGACAGTGGAATATCCTTGTTGTGCCTCAGATTCAGCAACAGGCTGAGAAAGTCACTCGGGACAAGATGAACAGTCGAACTCCCTCTCCCTCTCCCTCGTCCCCTAACCCTCGCTGCAGCCAAGCTGGACGCCGTTAATGCTTTGTTTCTATTCTGTTGTCACCCTAGGATAGTCATTGCAACGTGACGCCCTTGTCCTTTCAGGTTCAGGCGCAGCTGCAGCTGGACAGCGCCGTGGCGCACGCGCACCACCACCTGCACCCGCACCTGGCCGCGCACGCGCCATACATGATGTTCCCGGCGCCGCCCTTCGGACTGCCGCTTGCCACGCTGGCCGCGGACTCGGCCTCTGCCGCCTCAGTAGTGGCGGCTGCCGCTGCCGCCAAGACTACCAGCAAGAACTCCAGCATCGCCGATCTCAGACTGAAAGCCAAAAAGCACGCGGCTGCCCTGGGTCTGTGACGCCACCGCCAGCGCCACCGTCGCGCCTCCCGCGCGGCGCTCAGCCTGCACGCCCTCCGCGCTCCGTAGCTTCTCCGTTACCCCCTTCGAATCCCTGGAGCCCGCCCTCTTTCCGCCCTGCCGACAAGCCCCTGTCCCCTTCTGCAGCCCGGACTCGAAGGGCCGGACTCCGCGCCAGACCCGGGATCCCCCGCGGCGCACCTGCCCCGTGGCTCCTGCCCAGTCCACCCAAGGGCCTAGAAATGGGCTTTGTAGGAGCGGGTTTGGGGAAGTCCGGAGAGAGACTGGACGAGAGAGTGTGGACAGCGGAGTGTGGCTCACGACAAAGCTGCGACATGGACTCACATAGAAATAAAATCGTGACAAAAATGAGGAAAAAAATAGAAAAGACAAACCTGAGAAAAAAGAGAAAGGAAACTTATTTCTTATTGCTGTTTCGCAGAAGCTGAAATCGGAGAGAAGGAAGGAGCAAAACCGTTTTAAAAAATTAAAGTATTTTATACATTAAAAAAATACGGGAAAGTAACCTGGACGAATCTCGAGAGAATGGGGGAGGGGGTTTTACCAACTTAAATGTATGTGTGTTTTTTTTTAATGGGCTAAGAAGGCAAAACAGAAGGAAGAGGTATACTTATTTAAATAATTATGATGAAAAAAGTGCGCAGCTGGGAAGTTCACAGGTTTTGAAACTGACCTTTTTCTGCGAAGTTCACTTTAATACGAGAAATTTGATAAGAGAGGCGGGCCTCCTTTTACGTTGAATCAGATGCTTTGAGTTTAAACCCACCATGTATGGAAGAGCAAGAAAAGGGATGAAAGTCCAAAAACGAGAAGAGGAAAAAAATGATATTAATACAAAAAAAGATGCCACAGACAATTATTTCCCTGAGAAATTATTATGGCAGAACTGTCCGGACTGCTGACAGTAAATTCTGGTTTGCATGTTACTTGTATTCCATTGATGGTGTCTCCCCCTACCCCTCTTTACTCATGTGCACTCACTCCATTTTCATCTTCAGAACAACAACAACAAAATACCAGAAGCATCTGGAAATTGATATATATGTCTATTTGCCCTGTCTTTGATCCTGCGGGGCGAATGGGAAAAGTCATGAGGGAAGGGAGGAAATACACTCTGGTGTTCCAAGCGGACAGAGGCAGGCAAAAGGTGTGGGGGAAGGATAAAGAAGACAGAAAACCAAAAGAAATAAAGTCCAACGCCTAGCACACAGTAGGCGCTCCATGGGTGTTAGTCCCTCCCTCCCTGTTTCTCTGTTCCCTCCTGCTGGCTTCCGGAAGTCCTATTTGAGGGCAGTGCTTGATTTCCCGCTCTCTATCCAGACAAATCCACCTAAAAAAGCACCCAGCTATATACAGGCACTAGGTTTGTGTAAAATATGTTGATACACACGAACAAAGTTTATTTTGGCTATAATGTGTGAACTGATGGTTGACTTTCAACATTTGCATTTTATCTCACAAAGGTGTATCTATTCAAGTAATCTTTTTTTGTTTGTTTCAATTCATGTAGCTATTTAAACTGGGATACCTTGGGTTAAGCAATCTGTATCTAGCAAGCCTCTTTAGTTTTATTAATTTTTTCCTTCTAATTTACAAGAAAGAGAAAAAGCTCTTCTCACTGAACTTTGGTATGCGGTTGAGCTTTGTAACTATTTGTTCTCCATGAAAACAAAATTATTTATATTTGCCATATTTTTTCTAGTGTATTAAGTTATTTTAAACAAAAGAAGATGCTGTTATCTCATGACGTGTTGTCAGTACAAAATGTTTCGGCTCCACCTCTGTAAAACGGTTTAAATAAGTGCCAAGTTATTAATCGAAGACACTTTGCGATCAATTGAATGAAAATAGTATTGTTTCATTTGATGGGGTTCGCGTCATCTTTGTTCCTGTTACTATTAAAATATCCGGGATAGTCTTTCCTCCTTCCTTTTTGATGAGTGTATCTCTCTCGAACACACCAGCCTGGGAAAGGGCTTCGCTTTTGCTGCCACGCGCCGCAGTCCGGGCCTGAGAAAAGAGCGGCCGTAGGGCTCCCGCTAACGCCGAGCGCATCTTCTCTTTCTTCTTTTCCTCCGGGTTACCCACCCAGTATAGAAACCAGATTATACCCAATCAGTTAATGAACAGGTAGCAAGTAGGATAGCGTGGAACAGAGTGACCCCCCCTCCCTCGAGTCGGACTCTCCCGTTCGCCGTTTTGCTGAAGTTTACTTTGGGGACGTTTGGGGAGGAGGGAGGGCGGGATCCCGCTGTGAGACATCCACCTGGGTTACGGGAATTTGGGGTAGCATTCTAATCAACGCTCCGCCGACCTCGCCGGAGCCGGGCAGGTGCGGGCTCGCGCTGGGGACCCAGGACCGCGGAGCCGGCGGAGTTAGGCGCGGGGAGGGCGGATCCCACACTTCTCTCGCCTGTTTAGCGCTTCGGCCGAAGCGGCTTCGTTGGGTAAACTTAGGAGAAGGTGGCAGCCAGGACCCTGTTGAGGAAAAACCCGGTCCTAACCTTTCTCAGAATCCCCAGGAGCTCACTCTCTCCATCTCCTGACACCCTGCTCCGGGAAGAAATCCCATTAGGAAAGCCCGAAGGTGCTGCCTGGATGCGGGTGGGCAGAGACGGCGGAGACGCAGGCCTGGAGGCCCGAGACAGGACCTTTGCCACTCGCGCGCGAAGATTCAGGGTGTCCTGAGCGTCCCCAGGGCACCTCCGCCGCCCCTGCCCGGCCGGGCCGCGGACTGGGCTGGCTTGGGAGCAGTTCCTCAGCCTAGACGTGGTCGATGCGTTCGCACCAAATCTCCCCCTGGAGCTCTGGAGCTTTCGAAGCCCACTGAACCGGCCCGGGCCGAAGGCAGCGCGCGGCGGCCTCGGGCTTCGCCGCGGACGAACGGCCGTCGCGGGGAAACTAAACATCTGCCCCGGCGTGGTGCTCCGGCTGGGGTCCGAATCTGCGGGCTCCAAACCGCAACCCTAAACCAGCCCCGAGGCGGTGCCCCGGGTTTCCCCGGGCCCTAAGGGCGGGCGCGGAGGTCACGGGAGGAGAATCTGGGGCGGGAGAAACGGCGGTTCCATCCCGGGCCCAGCCAGTCCCCGGCTGCGGAACTCGGGGCGAAGCTCGAGGTCAGAGGCGGCGGTGCGCCGGGGCCTAGCTGGCCCAGGCTCGGAGCACCCGCCGCGCCCAGGTCGGCTTGGGACGTCCCCGGCCTCAGGAGCCGGGTGGGCCGGGAGCGAAGCTGCGCGGGGCCGGCGCCAGGCCCGAGCGCGGTCAGCAAAGGCCCCGCGGAGGCAGCCGGGTCTCACACGGAAGGCCAAAGTTTCTTGGCCGGGTCAGCAGAACTGGAGCGGGGAGCAGCCAGCGCGACCGATGCTCCAGGGGCACCCGCGGCGCCCTGGCTCCCTCCGGCGTCCGCTCCCCGGAGACTCCCGGAGGGCAGAGGCCGCCTTCCCCGGCCCTCTGGGCCGGTCCTTTGGGTCTAGGTTCCTTACACTCGCATGGCCGGCTTTCCCCGAGCGCCGCGGCCCCAATGAGTCTTCGCTTTAAATTTAAATAAGGCCCAGCAAGCATATTGTTTTGGTGGAAATTCAATCATCGGAATAAATAATAAAGCATTCCCTCTTCCTCTTCCCCTAAATCTTTCAGAGCGTGCAAAGCCTACCCCAGTTGCAAAACCCGTGAGTGGGGAAAACTGAGTGAAAAGAGACATCATTAGTGTTGAGGACCCTATGATACGAGAAGCCCGGTGAGATCCAAGGCCTTTGCTTGGTGCTGAACTGATGTACATCTATTTTGAGTTTTCCTCAGATTTGTAACTTTTTAGATCCTCAGATGGTAATACTTTAGTATAATGCAATGCTCAAATTTCGGAACTATTTTGATTTCTGAAAAATGCCTTTTTGGCTTCAACGACATGGGATCTTGTTTTTTCTTCCCAAATCAGTTTACATCATAAATTGCAAACATTTGCAATAAGATCTCAAGATTGTTTATTTTACATAACCTCAAGCACTTGACTATGTTAAACACCAATAGAGAAAGTCTGTGAAATCAGTTTAATGTGTGTCAGGGAATTAAAGGATCACTCCTTTTCATCACATAAACAAAGCATTTGAGATTGTTTTGATTGTCAGTCTCCCAATGTTTAAACAGTCTTACAATTGACTATTAATTTTAGGTCACTCTGTGCAAAAATAATTACCAAAGTTGTATCCTGCGTTAATGAAATGTTTCTGGGCAGTGGGTGAACATAGGGAAGTGGGTGATTGTTTTTAACATTATATTATTTTAGTTCAAACATAAATAAAAGTCTACAAATTCCAATGGGGGAAAAAAAGACCTGAAATGGTTTCTTAATGTGCCATTAGAACAGTTAGTCAAAATGCATTAAAGCAACATCACAAACCCAGAAATAATAAATATGTCACTCTAATGAGAGTGTTAACTTATGGATAATTTATTCAAGGTAGTTTTTACATTTCACATGGAATGTCTTATTATGACCTGTCTGACTACTGTGATGCTTGTTCTTCAAAATCTAATTTATATAGGCTGGAGATATACATAATTCATAACTCCTGTTGATATATGTATACGCACCCCGAATTTTAAATCTTTACAATATGTTTGAATGTTTACTAGCATGTTTTCAAGATGACTGAAATAAAACATAAAGTGTTAAACATCATATTGAAATCAAATACTTGCCCTATGCCTGAAGGAAAAGTAGTTGGAAATTTAAAAAATTAAGAAGAATTAGATAATTTTCAAGCTCAAGTATAGAGTGAGTACTGAAATAGTTCATACAGTGGACATTTTTGAGTAAGAAATGCAAAAATCCCCAAGAAAGACTTACACATGTGAACGTATAGCACTTCTGATGCCTAGGCAATCCTTTCATGTCTCTAATTCATGAAACAAAAAATCCTCAAGTCTGAGGGTATTTTGTTTTGGGTATTTTATGTGTCAGTCAAGGTAACCATTGCATATGCCTTCAGTACAGGAAAATTTAGTAGAGTACTTACATGGAGTTCTATTGGCATGAGGAAAGGTTTCAGAATATAATCAAATAAATCAAAATCACATAGGGAGGAATACATCCGCTTTTTTTTTTCCCCTTTCTGAGGAACTGTTCACATGTCCTGAGCAAGGATTTTTATATACTTTTATTCAAGCACAATTGTGTGTGGTTAAGAGCCACACCTCCTGGATTCAAACCTCACTGCTGCTATTTAAATGAGTTAATCCCTTTGTACCTCAGTTTCCTCATCTGTAATGGGGAAACAGATAGTATCTGTTTCTTGAAATTGTTAGGATGATGGAGTCAGTTAAAATTTGTAAAGCCCTCAGAACAGTGCCTTGCTCATGTATCCTAAGCACTAAATGATGCTTATTTTTATTAAAAGGCCAATAAATATTGATTCTTGTGATAAAATTCTTAGAAAAAGAAATTTATGCAAGATAAGGAATGAATACTTTCCTTTTGTGAAAAGAGGAACATTGCCTACTAGTTTGAGATTCTAAGCTAGATGCTTAGCTCTTTGAGCTTCAGCTGGAAGAGACCTGGCAAATATAATTATGTAGTTAGGAGGCTTTCCTATAAGATTAGTTTATAGATTGTTTGTTGCTATATCTATGACACATAGTACTGTCCTCTGCCATGCACAGCTAATAGAGTGAGTTGTCAGTCGTGGACTTGCCTTCAAGGGGCTTACCATCTTGGGAGCGACAGTCCATAAATACCCACAACAGGGCTAGGAAGCCTGAGCCAAACACACTTACCCACAGGATTCAGACACACATTCTGTGCATCCAAATGGCTACGCGGCACATGGGCGGCCTCTTGCCCTGTTTCGGAAACAGAACCCTCCTTGGAAATGACTAGCTTTATAAAGGAACCGTGGAGCGACACCCAGAGGTTAAGAAGCACACTTTGTGAGAGCTAAATGTGTACCATATGTTGCCATGGTTTGTGTTCTGTAGGACCATCTGCGTTTCCCTTGGCTGCCCAGGTTTGCAGAGCATTAGCAGTAAAATGCAAAGTCTGCTGACTAAGGATCTTTAGGAGAAGTTTCAAAATACATATAGTACAAAAGAAGGAACCTTTGAACAATTGAGTCCTTGGACAATTGAATCCTAATCACAGACTCAATTAAGGACTTCTTTTCAATGCCTAAATGTAAGTGCATCACTAATATTTACCCATATTTATACACTATTTGTGAAGAGCTCAAAGCCCTTTTTACACATTTTGAAGGGAGTTAGTATATCATCATGGTATATGGCTAATCTCCAGGGGCAGATATTCCTAAATTCAAATCTCAACTCTACCACCTTTTAGATGTGAAATGTTAGGTGATTTCTTAGCTGCCTGGAACCCATTACCTCTTAGTGTCCTGGAACACATACCTTGCAAGTTGCTGTGAGGATCGAATAAAAATAAGTTGTATAAAGTGCCTGCAGGGGCCAACGTTATTGTTCAGGGGGTTATGCCATAGCTTGTGATGTTGGCATCCCATAGTGCAACGCCGCTTCAAATCTCAGCTGCTCTGCTCTCAAACTAACTCCCTGCTAATGCGCCTGGAAAACAGTGGAGGATGGTCCAAGTGTTTGGGCCCCTGCCACCCATGTAGGAGATCAAGGTGGAGTTCCTGGCTCCTGGTTTTATCCTGGCCCAGCCCTGGCCAGTTGAGGCCATTTGAGGAGTGAGCCAGCAGATGGAAGATCTCTTTCTGTCTCTCCTTTTCTCTTTGTTATTCTGATTTTTTCAAATAAATCAATCAATCTAGGGGGCCAGTGCTGCCTGCAGCACCAGCATCCCATATTGGGTCTGGTTCAAATCCTGGCTGTTCCACTTCCAATACAGCTCCCTG